CAGAATGTATGATTATCAGCAAGAGGAACAGCCATAAATGTCAGCTACAAATTCAAGATGTCAAAATCAAGCAAGTACAGATATTTAAATATCTGGGAAGTGTGTTAAAACAGACAATGGAAAACGTGAAGAACAAATCAGAAGGTGCATTGGGATAGCAAGAAATGCCATCCAAAAGCTAAACAAATGAACAGGAAGGTTTCATTAGAAGCAAAGAAAAGAGTGCTCAACTGCTATGTAATATCATTACTACTATATGTCAGTAAATGTTGGACAATTTTCTCACAGATAAAATGGAGACTTAAGGTGACAGAGATGTGGTTCTACAGAAGGATGCTGAAAGTACCATTGATAAAATATGGGAAGAAGTTTTAAAGAGAAAATAAAGCTTCTCAGTGCTTTTTCTAAAAATATTTTCTGGTAATTGCATTAATGTGATTCACTCTTTGGGACCTAAACTTTATGAATTTAAGCACAGTACTAGATTGGTAGCTAGGTCTCATCATTTTAGAGTGGAATTTGATAAATATAACCAAAAGTTCTATGGTTCCAGTTTCATCTCTTATACTTTTTACTTGTGGAAATCTCTTCAGGCTTCTTGCTTTGCAGTCAATTTTCAAAAATTTAAATGCAATGTTAATTGTTGACTTTTGTTTTCACTCCTGTTCTTTTATTGTTCACTCTACTATAATGTTTTCTTTTCTCTTTTCTCACACTTAGTAACCCTGTGTGTCTTAGTGGTTTTATTGCCTTGCTTGGGGTGAAATGATTAAAAACCATTGAAACAAAAAGGACACTTGCATTTAGGATCAGAAAGAGAGAGATGAATTATCTGTGACATATAATGAGGAAAGAAGGCTTGTATAATTAGCCACTCACAGGACATATGGAAGTCAAGAAGGATAAAGAGAAAAACAGCAAGTAACTTACAAACTTGTGTAAATGGCCAGGTGATGGAGAGTAAAAAGGCAAATATTGCTAAGAGCTATAAAGGATATGAAATGATCAACGCAATCCTGAAGGAACATGTCACATAAAAAAAAAAAAGAACCATAATAACTATCAGTATTGTAAAATCATAATTAGCCAATGTTGTGAATATGTTGTAAACATTGTCTTTGGATCTAATTTCTTATTTATTTTATACTGACAAATGGATTTTGGTGATTAAGAATCCTATAATAAGATTGATAGTTATATTTTTAAAAGAGGAAATAAAGGTAATAAAAGATTTGTAAATAATGGGCACATGGCCAAGTGTTTCTGGGTTGGAATCTCACCATGGTTGATTTTTCAGGAAGATGACTTTTTGACATTATTGTCCTGGGGAGGTGATTCCAGTGTGTGGAACATTTGGAAAGAGCCTGAAAACTTAATCCTTGAGTGAAATGGAGTAGATGGAACTATTTGGGAGCTGTCAACAGTTGTGTTAGCACAAAGTCACAAGTCATCATGACTGAGGTTTTAGTGCACCACCCTTGTTCAGACTGTTGATCATGCCAGATAATGCACTCTAACAAAAACTGTAACTAAAGTCTACTGAGTATAGTTGCAGTGTAAACCACAGGTGGCCTCTTTAGGTGTTGAACAAAAACAAATGTGCCTGAGCAGGTGTCTGCAATAGGGATGAGCTAGCCTCCCTAGTAGACAAGCATACTTGGATATGTGCAACAAACCATTAATAATAAAAAAAAATAATGAAACCTGCAATTGTAAGCATTCTAAAATGCTTACACGAATAATACAAGTTTTGAAGGTATTATTATCAAGTATGTTATCATGAATGCTAAAAAGCAAATTCATTTTAACTGATAATTATTGGAATGCTTTATATCAGGTCACGATATAATTGTTAATGGTAGCATGTAGCCCCTTACTAGATGCTGCATGGTTGGGTCATTGACAAATAAACCAGCCCCTCTATCAGGCTTTTCTAGGGAAAACAGTGGCTAGACACCCAGCAGGAATAAAAACAAGACAGATGAATTTTTTGAAGGGGTCACTGATCATCTAGTACAATGTGGCAGAATGCCTTCCATAGTAATGTATGCAACTAGTGTAGTGATGATGCATCACTGCTTTGTAAAAAACTGGCTAGACTCAAGTCAACAGCAAGGGCAGAGGGTTCTCCTAATGTAATCAATAGCTACATGACCAATGCAAGCATTCAAGTTGGAGGATATTGGATGGATGGGCTCCTCCATATCTACTTGACTAAGATATGCAATTCACAGATGAATTTGTTTAACAGTATATAAACTCCTTATGGGTCATTCAATGCCAATATTTAATTTTCTTAAGAGCATTAGTAATTTCTTTGCAAAAATGTATTGCTGGCAATTTCTTCAGTATGAAAATGAATTGCTGGTATTTTTACTATAAAAATGTGCTTTTATAATTTCATAGTATTTTGACCCCAGTTTTGGAGGTTAACTATTTGCCCATATCTGGGACCCTAACAGTTGCTACCACTGCAAATCAGTGTGGACCTGGGAACAACAGCAATTAAGAGATAGTTTCACACTCCTCAAAACCCCCTGATCAGATGCCTTGCTGTCAGATGTAGTTTATTGTCATACCCAGGACACATTACAGATGAGTAAATGGCCTTCAACCCATACATGTGGAAGGTTAGGTGCTCAGCAACCCCATGACTATGTATGGGGTCACTGTATGACTGTCATATAACTGGAAGTTTAGGTGGTCAGGTGCTCATAGGACTGATAATGACTGTCATGTTCTCAATGCAAGAAACATTTCTATTAAATATTTCAGCATTTTTTAAATCTAAGATAGTCAAGTGACATGATTATAAAAGTCTCTTCTTTATCCATTTTCAAATATTTAATATTAGAGTGAATGAAAATTTTTATATATTTGAAAAAGGATTAAAGTTAATGAAATTTTAATGTATTTGTTTGAGAAATGATTAACTACAATGATTAAATACAAATACAATTTTGGTACGTTTGAGAAATTATTATTTTTTAAAATAATTATTGGTAATTATTGTTAAAGTCTAGTCAAATCCAAATGTTGGTTGGTTGTTTTTGTTTAGAAGTATATCAACCTCTATGGGTTATTTTAATATTTTATAAACAATTTTACTTGGAGGATTCATACCTTTCCCAACGGTATTTGTACATAAGTGAATATAACAAACCCAAGTGGAATTGGAACACAGTTCTCCAATTAACAAATCCAAGCCACTATCTATTAAACCACCCACACATCCAGTTTCAGGTACCTGGTATTCTCAAGCTGTTACCCATCTAGGTACTGACCAGGCTTGATGTTGCTCAACTTTGATGATCATATGGGAACCAGGGTTCAACATGATGTGACCATAAGCCATCAAATCCAAATGTCTTTCGTGGAAAACTGATGGTCTAAATGTCTACAAGAATATGCTAGCAATAATGATGATAATTTTAAAGTTTGTGATAATTTTGAGACAATCATCTAAAGTTAAATAATTATTTACAAATGAAAATACTAGAGCTTTTGATTCCAGAAAAGCAAAACCTGAATAATTTTTGAATTTCTCAATAAGTGAATCAAATTTTATTGGAGTAATTCAGTTTTGAACTCACTTATTCTACTGGATTATAACAAGAAGTATTTTAATTTTTTTCTTTTTCTTTTAATTGAATTTACCCCAAGCAAGGCAATAAGGCCACTAAGACACAAGGGGGTTACTGGGTGTGAAAGAATTCAAAAACATTATTAAAGAGCAAGAACAATAGAAGATTAATTAGAAAGACAGTAGATAACAATTGATATTGCATTTAAAATTTTGAAGATCAAAATTGGTTGGAAAGCATGGAGTCAGAAGAGAGTTCCACAAGGGAGAAGTGCAAGAAAAGAAATATAGAACTTACAGTTACATCTAGCCAGCTCAACTGTAAATTGATGAGACCATGTTGCCAATCTGGTACTGTACTCAAATTCATAAAATGTGGGTACCATAGTAAAGAGCTCATCCAAACAATTAACATGAATGTATTTATAGAAAAGGCATAGGAAGCAACTTTATGGTGGTGGGAAAGTGACTGAAGCCAAGACACCAGGTCAGGATCAATATTGCTGATTCTTCTTTAGATTTTATCAACAACTAGCAGTAGAGCCCAGCGTTGCCCGGGGATGTAACAGTAAGAGATAGATCAAGTATCGACCATCATAAAGACTGAAAAATAAAATTGACAAAGATTATTGTTTAAGGTTGACGGACACGCATGTCTTAATTAGTTTTTTTTTTTTTTTTTTTTTTAAACGAATTGGTCAAACCCGAACTCAAACAAAAACATTGTTTTCAATCGTTATGGATCTACCAATTGAATAGAATTTTATTATAAACAATTGTCTTGTAAATGGAATTTTTAAAGCATTCTGTATTTAAAAATAAAGAAAAAAGTGTGCAAGACAATAAGAAACACTACCTGTCAAAAAAAAAGTGAAGTTTTGTTGAAATCGGTTGAAAAATGTAGGAAATGCGATCCCATATATAAATGAACACACACACACACAAACAAGCTGGGTTTTATAATAAGTATAACTCGATATGAGTTGTCCCCCTTTCATTCTCGTGATGCCTCTTAATTGTGTTTTCAAATTGATTTTGTGCAAAAACAATTGTGTTTTTCCAATTTTTGGCACTGTTAGAACCACTGCAAGGTAATTTTATGTAGTCCTGTGAAGTTTTGTTGAAATCGGTTGAAAAATGTAGGAAATCCGATCCAATATATAAATGTACAGACACACACACACACACACAATCTGCGTTTTATAATAAGTAAGATTTCTAAATAAATAGCAGGAGCACCAGACTATATATGGCAGCAATATAGTAAGCTAACATTCAACTAACATTCTTAGCAGCTGACCTAGCAATGGTCTAATCAATTTTTGTTGTACAATTAATATTCCACATATGATATCTTTCGGGAATCTCTAATTTTCAGTTCCAAGCTGTTAGACATTACACAACCTACATGCCAAAGCTTACAGCCCCTGGTTTCCCAAAGTGGTCACCCATCTAGGTACTGACCAGGGTTGACATTGCTTAACTTCAGTGATCATATGAGAACCAGTGATTCAATGTGATATGATTGTAAGATGAGTAGATATGAAAGAATGAAAACACAGGTAAATATCAAAATCTTGCTAAGGAATAAAGCAAGTTATGGAAACTGAAGAGAACAGTCATGCAAATCATTACTGGAGAACTGGAACTGAGATAAAATACTGGAAGAAATCAAAGAAAGAATCAGGAGCATCCAGATCACAGAATTATTGAAAATAATAAGAAGCATACTTGGGCTAGTGGGGAGATCTACAGTTATTTATTCATAAATATAAACCACTGGTTGCAATCAGTGTGAACACTAAATGGGAATATTGAATTTAATGGATATAAAGGGTGTTCCAATAACTTAAACCAATTTTAAATGTGAATTAACTTTAAGCATCTAATGATTTTTTCTTTCAGATTTGGTGGACATTTGAGTGATATGATTTTTCACACATAATTGCCATGATTTAAATAACATAATCCAATAGAGAAATAAATAAATTTTCACAAATAACACTAATTTATTTACTGCTGACTTTGATCCATCTTAATGAAACACCCTTATATATATTCCATCTTAATGAAACACCCTTTATTAGCTGTTCCCTTATAAAGAAACATTCAGCATTCATTGGCCAAACTGTTACTGCTAATTTCAGTTGAAATTTATAAAACCTTTCTATTAAAAGAATTTTTCAGGAAAATAGGTTTCTCAAGTTCACTAACTGTTATTGTGCTTTCCTATTTATGACAGTGCAGAACATCAATTTGATTATGTCATTATTCTTTGAGTTACATGTGCTATCCATTTTAGTTATTACTGCTGTTGAAAGTCCTCAAGTGATGTAGTATTTGTTATCTGATACAGTTCTTTCTTTGTGATTCTTTAGCACTAGTCCATTAGGTCTGAAGAAGGATGGTCCTTGCTAAGACCTGCAGTCTTCATTTCCTCAAAGCCAATGTGAAGTACTCGGACACGCTACATTCCTAGGTTCCACCAGGTCTTACCTTCACAACAAGGAGCCGCCATGCCACATATATTGTAGCAAACCACCCATATTCCCTCCATATTCCATCGGTGAGAAGTCAGTGTCACTCATACTTTTCCCGAGAACCACTATTCAGTGGAACAAACTCCCAAGAGGATATTTCCCTGATCACTACAATCTTAACCTGTTCAAGTCTAGAGTTAACTGTTATCTCCCTCTCCTATCCATATAAACTTAATGTAACCCTCTACCACGAGTGGGTCTCTGGGTCTTGTACAGAGTGAACCTTACTGTAAAAAAAAAATATATATATTCATTTGTTTTAAAAAATTTTTATATCCCACATTATTTCAATACTAGCTTAGTAAGAAATCACCAATGGCAGAAGAATGTAGATTTGGTTGAAATAAAACCCATTTCTCTAATGGCAGATTTTGATCAGTAAAAAATGGAAATATAAGAGTTTCCCAAATTGTCTAATATATTTACCATTTATATGAGTCACAACTTCAGAAAGTTACTGTATCTCACTTTGAATTGTTCCATGACACATATAACTGCTTTATTGATTCTCTGTGATAAAATGTAACATGAATTTCATTTTCAAATTTTCTGTTAATATGTACTGTTACAAACTCAAAAAAAAATGATCACTTCAGAATATAGGCAATCATGGTCCTCCACATCTTCCTGTCCATTGTAGCTCTTAAGTTCTGTCTTTTTGTTATTTCTCCCAAACCCTGTTCTACCATTCATTTACTCAAGCTCATCAAGTGTTACATGCTTCTTTCCCCATCCTGCTTTTCCTCAATTTGTCCTGTGAGTATAAGATTTTTCAAGCACTCCTTCCTCATTACAAAATTTCAACTACCTCTTCCTGATGTTAAATATATGTTTCCTTTTTTGTTTCAATTTTCTCCCAAATCTTCTTGTTGCTCATATATTAATGGTATTCTCAGCATCCTTCTGTAGAACCACATTTCTGTTGCTTCAAGTCTCTTCTTCATCTTTGAGGAGATTGTCCAGCATTTAGTGCCATATAGGAGGATAGATATCATGTAACAGTTCAGTACTCTTTTCTTTGTTTCTAGCAAAGTTTCTCTCTCTCTTAATACCCTGCTTAGGATTTGGAATACATCTTTGGTCATCCCAATACATCTTTGGATCTCAGTGTTGTACTTTCAGTCCTCTATTAGAACAATTCCCAGATATTTAAATTTTTGAACTTGTTTGATTTTATTATCCTTGATTTGTAATTTGTTATTTTGTGCTTGTCCTTTTGCTGATAAACATGCATTCTGTCTTCTTAGAGTTTATGCTTAGGCCTTTTTTTCTTACTTTCCTTCACTACCTTCTATCAGAGCTTTGCAGTTTTCCTTTCTGTGTCTGCTATCAATACTGCGTCATCTGCGTATCTTACATTGTTAAGATTGTGACTGCTAATACCGAATCTTAATAGGACTTCTAATTTTCTCAGAATTGCCTTTTATAGATTGAATAAATCTGGTGAGAAGATACATCGTTGTCTTACACCCCTTTCTATTTTTTTTTATCTGTTGAACTCATTTTCTACCCATATGCAGGTGGGTTGCTGCCTGTATAGGCTGTTGATTATTCTAATATCCTTCCTGAATATGTCAAGGTTGCTGAGCAGCTCTAACAGATCTTTGTAATAATAATCTTCCTGGAATATATGGTGAACCTTTGCAAGATTTTTGTTCTTTTAGTTAGTGAAAGGTTAGCCCAACAATGGATTAAATTCTCACTTGGCAATCAGTTTATAAGAACAAATGACACTTAGATGCTCAAGTGGATGCTACCTTAATCACTACAATCTTACCCTCTCCAAGTCAAGGAGAAGTCATTATCTATCCTACCTATCCTTCCTTACAACAATCCCATTTAGTAACTCTCTACCTTAAGTGGCACTTAGGCCTAGTATAGTGTGAATGCCAATCAATCAATAAAGTCCAACCACAGTTAGGATGATAGAGTCATTGTAAATTCCATGATACTTTCATTCATAGTATGTGTTGTCAGGGCTTCATACAGTTTTGAATTCAGAGTTTTCCTTCTCTTAGATTGGTTGCCACTCAAGGTTGAAGAGTTAAGTTTTTCCTATTATTTATCCCATAGTTAGGGAGATTCACAAAGAGATGGATTTATATTTTCCCAGAGATATTTGCAAATAAGTCAATGTAATGAACTGAACTAATTTCACTGTGGTACTATACTTACATGCTAATATTCTTGAGAAAGATATGAATCCTCTTCTTCTTCCCCCAGCTATAGGTAAATAGCAGGACAGACTGGGTTCTATAGCCTTGAATGGCAACTGGTCTACCGCAGAAATAAATGGCAACCTGCTGTGGGAAAATATCTGCCTCGTCAGTCATGTATCAAAAGATACATGATCGCCTAAGCATGTATCATGCATGCCACATAACTGACTGGTGCTATAATCTACAGGGCAGTCTACAAAATCAGCAATGCCTATCATCATTTGGCTGTGGCTCTATACTCCACAGAGGCATCTACAGGGTGAGCAAAACCTAATATGATTTGGTTGTGGCTCTATACTCCACAGAGGAGTCTACAGAGTCAGCAACACATAACATGATTTGGCTGTGGCTCTATACTCTGCAGATGAGTCTACAGTCAGAAACACATAGCATGATTTGGCTGTGACTCTGTACTCCACAGAGGAGTTTACGGTGTCAGCAACATGTAACATGATTTGGCTGTGGCTCCATAACCCACAGAGGAGTTTACAGGGTCAGCAACACGTAACATGATTTGGCTGTGTCTCTATACTCCACAGAGGAATCTACACAGTCAGCAACATCTAACATGATTTGGCCGTGGCTCAATACTCGACAGAGGAGTTTACAGGGTCAACAACATCTAACATGATTTGGCTGTGGCTCTATACTCCACAGATGTGTGTACAGTGTAAGCAACATGTAACATGATTTGGCTGTGGCTCTATACGCCACAGGAGTTCACAGTGTCAGCAACACATAGCATGATTTGGCTGTGGCTCTAGAGTCCACAGAGGTGTCTACAGTGTCAGCAACACTTAACATGATTTGGCTGTGTCTCTATAGTCCACAGAGGAATCTACAGAGTCAACGTGTAGCATGATTTGGCTGTGTCCTCTATACCCAACAAAGGAGTCTAATATGACTAAGTACTTGTGATAGGTGAAGAGGTTAACCAGGTTGCAATTAGTCTTCATATCAAATGTGAATATCATGCCTACACTTGTATTTTATGTGAAGTTTTTCTTTAAAAGTTTATTGAAGCATTGCATATGGTTCAGATGTAGTTTTTCCCAAATTAAATAAAACTTCACACATACTGTCTGCTCTTTTTAATCATCCCCTAAGAAAAACAATGTGCATGTAAATGCCAACAATTCATTCTTAACTTAAAAGATTTCTACCTTATCTTTCTTTTTAATGTATCTGTAATTCTTAAACACACCTGTTTTTTCTGTCCCAATTTCATGGATGAGGATTTATCATTATCTATATTTGGACTAACATTCTTATCTGTGCCTATTGGCCTTTTTCAGGTGTTTGTAAATCCAGGTAACCTTCAGGGAATATCAGTCTGAACTCTTTGTTTAGCCTACAAAAGGTGCATTGTTCTCATTCCATGTCCAGGGATATCTCATTTTGTTCCTTTTTAGTGTTTCTCAATATTGCTCACCATGAAAAAATAGCCAAGAGTATTAAAGTGTTGCTTCATAAGTTTGGTGGTAAAGTGATTCAGAGATCAATCTCTGGGTTGAGTAGTAAAAGTAAAGCCTTAGACACAGTGGAAACAGGACTAGAAAATATTGAGTAGTACTAAATAAGAACAAGCAAGATATCCTGAGATATGAACAGCCAAATGAAACACTTTATCCTTGTAGATTAAATAAGATGTTCATTTTGGAATTCCCTAATGGTTATCTGGATCGACAAATACATGAAAAAGGGTGGAGGACACAACAGCCAAAACATGATAAAAGCAACATTGATTTGAACAAGAGTCCAAATGTAATTAATGTAAATACTAAGTATTTTTTTTTAAATATAAAAACGACATTGATGAGGACATTAGTCTGAATGTAATTAATATAAATACTCGACCTGGTATTTGTTGCAAAATATAAAAACAATATTGCAGAGGACATTAGTCCAAATGTAATTAATATTGAAACTCACCTGGTATTTGTTTCAAAATATGATTGGACAAATATGTTCATGGGAAGGAGAATATTTTAAAATATTAGAAAATAAGTTCACTGTAATGTGGATATTCTCTCCAAAATAGACCATGCTATCCTGCTTTAAAGAAAAATTTGGTTGTTCTCAGAGAAGCTTTCAGATGCTGTTAATATTACATTGTTAAGCCAACTGCAATTGTCTTCATTTTGCTTCTTTTTTTTTAAATGGTTACGGATAGTGGTTGGAGGAAACAGTACAGAAGTAGAAACAGACATTATTCAATTTTCAAATATTGGATTACAGGACCAACTAAAAGGAAGTAGAAAGAAACCTGGGTCAACATATGGTTTTTGGTAGACTTACTGTATATCCTGGTTTAGTTCGAAATGTTGCAGTTGGTATTATCTGTCCCAGGGATATAAGCCATAAGTATTTTTTCTTTTTTTTCTGTGTTAGCCCTGAATATTGGGTCATGAAAACGCAATATTATACAAGAAAACTAAATGGTAATATTCAGTTTCCCTACAAGGAAACATTTGGCATTTATTGACCATGCAGCCAATTTCGGTTGAAATTTATAAAAACTTTTTCTTAAAACAATTTTTTAGGAAAATAGGTTTTTCAAGTTTAGTAATTGTTATCACTCTTTCAAATATTGATGGGGGTTTCCTTCCAAACCTTTTATTTGAAGAATGTTAACATCTTGATTATCTCATTATTTTCTCTCCGAGTTACATGTGCTATTCATTGTAGTTGATGCTGCTGTTGGTAATCCTCAACTGGTGTGTTTTTTGTTATTTCGTATAGTTCTTTGTTTGTGGTTCTGTAGTGCCAGTCCACAATGTTCAAAGAAGGATGATTTTTTGCCAAGACACCCAGGTTTTACTCACTCAAATCCTTTTTTCTTCATCGACTTTAGGAAGCTACAATAAAAAATAAAAACTTTCCTTGTTTGAAGCTTAGAAATTGCATTAAACTTTTTTTGGTAACAGTAGCTATGACAGTTATGTGTTATCCATCCTCTTGTATGGCAATGAATGTTGAAGAATTCTCAGATGAGGAGAAAAGTGGCGGGATCAAAAATGTGGTTCTACAGGAGGATACTGAGAATTCCATGGATGGAGCAAGTAAGAAACAAGGAAGTCTTAAAGAAAATGGAAAGAACAGTTATACTCAGAATCAGGAAAATTCCTTGGGTGCACAATGAGGAGGGAGGGATTAGAAAACTTAACTTTCATGGGGCACTGATATAGGTAGTAAGCTTCTTACATGACAAGCTTCTGTGAATGGATGACAAAATGGGTGAGGGAGCCTTAGCAAATGATGAAAAACTGCTAAGGGCCATGAGGTATAAGAAATTGTGGAGAACCATGATAGCCTATGTTGTGAAGTGATGTGACACAGAAGAAGAAGAAGAAGCTATGTGAGTAGAGTGAGTTTTATACCAAGTTTAAAACTGCCTAAAACGTCAGTCTATATCAAAAGTATTCTTGGGTCAACATGTAGTTGTTCAGGCAGTAGCAAGGAAATGTTGATTTGGCAACAATTAAGTATTGACATGTCTCTTATTTGTAATAAAACATAATTAGCAATCATAAGAATAGGCACAGACATCCAGAGTATTTGTGGCAGAGAATTTATCAATTTTAAAAGTTCAGAATCATAAACCTGTTTTGTTGGCTTGCTAATTAATTCTGAAAGTCAGCCTTTATTGTCATCATCATCATTAGTCCAATGACTTGGATGTAGCCTGGTCAGGGCCACAGCCCAGCTGAGGACCTGACCAGGAGTTAACATTGCCAACGAGGGCTTACTGAGGCATGGTTATTTTTCCCTGTACTGTAAGTGGAGCTATGACTCTCCTCATTTTACAAGGGAGAAGTTTCTCAGCCTTGGAGATTCCAGCCCTGTGGCAGCACCTTCCTCACTGCCCTAAAGAGGCTGGGTTGGTGTAATACCAATGTCAGTGTGACAATGGTCACAAGGTCTGGGAAAAAAATCAATTTTTGTCTTGGCCCATATGCGTATGCGTATGGCACTCCCTATGTTAAAACGACCTTATGTCACATCCCGCCTTGGTGGGTAGGCCGACAAGTAACTGGGTTGAAAACTGGAGGACTTCATTCATACATAGCATGTCATGGGCATGTAGACCTGTCAAATCTTATCACTCTCATGATCAGATCACAGCCATTGCCCTTCAACTTGCCTTGGTCACAGAGATATGAGCATTGATTTCATCAAGGGAACCCTCTGCCTTGGACACTGAGACTTCAGTCTAGGAAGCCCTTCACCCCACGATGTGATATCATCACTACACTGGCCATATACATAGCTGTAGAGCCCTGTCTACCACATTGTGCTAGATGACTTTACAAGAAGGTTCCTTCTTCTTTTGACAGGTTCTTACTCCTGCTGGGAGTAATAAAATACATCTGTCTTCTTAATCATAAGTATGACTGAAGACCAAAGTATTTGTAAAAATATGATTATAGGAATCATTAACTTTTAATTACAGCATATAATTATAGGCTTTTCTGGAGAGAATGATATTAAACATGCTCTCCTCACCAGAAAAGCCTATAATTACTGTATATACTTGTGTGTCATGTGACTTTTGAAGATCTAATTTTGAAGCTAATTTGACTACAGTAAATGAATATATAATTTTGTTAACGCCATATCCAGGGCCAGCAGCAGCTTTAGTATTAGGTTTTCAAACGTCGCATGATATACAAGTATATTCAGTATATGATTATACATTGAGAATTCATTGCAGTTTTTAAAACATTTGAGTCTGTTAATAACTAAAAAATTTAAAATACTCAAAGACAAAAAGATGCCACTGTAATTCCCAATTTTGACTTATGTTTTGAAAAGAGAATATTTTCACCATATAACATGCTGTCAGAGATCAAAATGATCTGGTTGATGTATCTTTTGTGTCAATTATTTTAATTTTAAAAAATGAAGAGAGTTTAGATATCTTTTTTGAAATCTAAATTTACTGACTCTTGAAACTTAGATCAAAATATAAACATCAATAGTGAAAATAAAGTTTGCTTCAGTTGATAGAAAATAGAAACAATGAGTTTGGTTCAATTGGTAGAAGCTCAAAAAATTTTGCTCAAGATCAATTTGAATTTTCATATTTGATAGAAAACACTAGACATTAAATATCTTCATAAGAGGGTCCATTAAATCTAGTTGATATTAAATAATTTTGTACTTTTACTAAATTAGGGCAATTAGTTTTATGAATATACAGTCTGAATGACAAACATCTCTATACAGTGTAGATTTTCTCAGTTCCAGAATGTCTCTCATTGGATTGGCAAAGTAAATACCATTTTTTTAAAAGAAAATTGTACAGATTTTACAAGTACAGGGTTATGCATGAAGATATAACTTGCTAAAATTTAACATCTTTAACTTTTGCCTCACATGTAATCTACTTGATTGATAAACCAATGTCTTTATCAGATGAGCCATGACTTGCTCTTTAAAAAAAGATGCATGAACAGAGATTTTTATGATTTTTTGGCAGCACAGGATTTATTGGCTTCCCCTGCGGAATACAGGATGTGGAAAATTTGTCTGAATTTTAAATGTCCCTGACTGGCGTTTAATTTGGGCAGTTTAACAAATCAATTTATTTACCTGATAAGCCAGTTGGCCAAACGCTAAATAAAATACAGCAACAGGAGAAGATTAAGATGTTGAGTCATAGGAATTGTAGAAGCTATTTTTAGATTAATAGTGCTTTTAAGCTGATATAACATACAGTTTTCACATTATATATATATATATATATATATATATATATATATATATATATACATATACAATATACATATATATATATATATATATAAAACGTGCATAATGAGAATGATGATAAGTTATGTCACCAAGGAAGATAACACTGTCTGTGTTGATACTGTGGTAGAGGGTTAGGATGCTTGGATGGGTTAAAAAAAAAAGGCTTCTGGGAATGATTCTTTAAAGGCACAGGAAGATTCACAGAATATCTCCATTGCCCTTACTCTACCACCATACCATACGAACAATTGTTGGCTAACTAAAAGCTTTGACGGATGGTGTCATATATATATATATATATATATATATATATATATATATATATATATATATATATATGTGTGTGTGTGTGTATATAAAATATGTATTCTGTCAACAAAGTTATCTTCCTCCTTGCCTTTTTCATATTCTTCTACAAACAGTGCCATCACATCAGTTTGCTGAAAGAGGAATAATTTCCTCAGCAATAAAAGAAATGGATACAGACTTCTTAAATCTGTGTTTGGCAATGAACTAAGCGATTCTCATTTCTTCTTGATTTTCTTGCATATTATCTTTCTTCATTGCCACCATCCATATTCTTTTTTTCCTTCTTCAATAATTTCTCTTCTGCAATTCATTTCCCTCCTGCTCAATATTCTTATTTATTTCCTTCTTTCAAATTATCTTTTTCTTATCCTTCTTCATTCCTTTTCTTTCATCATTTTCATGTCTAACTTTTATGCATTTCTTTAGCTTTCCTCCTCATTTTTTCTTTCTTTTATTTTCCGTCATTTCTTCTTCATTACCTAATCTTCCCCACTTTTTTTTCCCTAGAATTTTATCTCCTTCTTTTCTTTATTATGTAATTTCTTTTTCTATTATTTCTAACCTTTTACCATCTGGCTATCTCCCTTTTATT